TTATTATTTTTGACACTAGACTTTCCTTTCTGTTCTAAATTTAGGTTTATTGTTACCGGTTTTAATAAACTCAATTTCATCTTTTTTGAAAGCTCCAATACTTGATGCGCTGAAATTTCTGATTCGTTAGATCTTATCCTCACCAATTGTGCTAAAGATATCATAAATCTTTCGAGCTGTAGCAATTCTTCTCTTTATGACATTAATAGAAGTACCACTGGGGAGTAATTTCTTAACTTCAGCAACTATCTTACTCTGTGCCGTGCGTAGGGGATTGATATCTTTAGTAACTCTTTAAGTTTTTCTGCATCTGCTTTCCCGAACTGATAATAAGACAAGATGACTTCTTTTTTCGCACGAACCACATTTCTCTCCGAGAAAGCGAGTAATTCTTCAGCTTGATTTATATTTACATATAAGAGGAAAAATCCTTGTGCAGTCGAGGGAGGTATTTCTTCCATTTCAGATAACACGTCAGAATGGGTAAATCTTTAGAAATTTCTCGAAGAAAAGATCTAACTTTAGGAGTATTTTCAGGTTTTAAAGCTTCTGCAAGATCACCGATATCCTTTTCAACTGCTTCTATATTTTTAATTCGATTTTGGTAATTTTTAATGAGGCAGGTAATATTTTCACCAATTGCAAAATAGCATAGTTGAAATGTAAGATATGATCACATTTCAAGACAGTGACTGGTTTTTTAATTGATTCTTGGCAGATGCAACATGAATTGGAAATTTGGTTAAGAATATCTGATACAGAAGTGGGTGTATTCAAGATTAAGAAATTGATTAATTTTCGGAAAGTGATTTTTGAGGTAGATGAGAAAAGTAATGAGGTTTTATACTTCTTGTATGAATGTACTGCTTATACTCCAAGCCCTTAAAACAACTGGAATCTGCTAGAAAAAAAGCTGAGATGATATCTTTACCAACGGTAGTCTTGCTTTGATACATGAAAAATAAAATGTGACACCAATGATTAAGTAAATGGAAATTTTCTCGATGAACATCAATAGGCCGGCAAAATCTAAAAATAGAGCGATTCTCGAAACAGCAAGTGGAATATTTTTAGTTTTTTCAGGTTCTGAAACTGGAGAGCTCAGATATGATTCTCACATTGTTTATTTTCGTAAATAAATATATATAATATATTTTTTACTTCGTATTAATAATAGTTTAATATTTACAATGACTGAGGGTAATAACAATAGCAGAGATAGTTCAAAAAATATGTGCCAAGGCACTAGCCCCATTATTGAAATCGACTATGATGAAGAATTGGCCAACCTTACACAAAGGCAATTAAAATCACATGTAGTTAATATCAATGGCAAAGATATAGAAAGTATACTCGATTCAGGTGGACAATGTCCAGTTATCACCTGTAGAAAAGCAAAGAAGATGGTTTTGAAAATAGATGATATGAATAATATTATAGTTTCCAATATTGTTAGGCAAGTATCAGGTAAAAAAATCTGGATTTCTCTTCACCAATTACTGGAAATAGTGAAACTCGAGATTGGGCTAGAGATTTTTAAATAACACCGCATCCGAATCCTTGTCTTCATCTTTATCTTCATCTAAGTTTGGGTCTGACTTTGAATCATCTAGCTACGAAGTGACTACCTTCAGCAACGATGATAAAGATTTACTGTGAAAGTGGTGAAAGCAAAGAAGTATGATTAGTTATCATCATCATAGAGATGGAATGGTCTCGCTTCTTCAGGCTTTTGTCCCTGCTTCCTGTAGTTTACCACGACGTAGTTTTGTATTGGAGAAGTATGGTTATCTGGAGAATGATGTAGACATTCTCCAGCAATGGTATAGGCGTGGGCTGGATTCTCAGCTTTATGTACTAC